GAAGGTAGGCTTCCGACGGGTCCCCTCCGACTCTGGCCGTGAGGACGGAGCTGGGTGGTTTGCTTGCCCGGGGTCCGGCCTCGGCGCTTTTCCCGCGGCCTCTTCCGTAGACGCGTGTGACCCCTCGGTGGCTGCGCACACGGATTCCGGGGAGGGCAGGGGGGCGCCCGGGGCAGAAACGTCGTCCTCCTGCCTTCGCCCGCTCTCCTGGGCTGCCCACCACTTTCTTCCTGGCTTCTAGCCCTCTTTCCGTAGTTCGCATAGACTCTCCACTTACGCTGCAGTTTGCGTTTTTGCGTAATCGCCTTGGAGTATTTTCCTTTTCCTTTGCTTCTCTTGCTTTCAAGCTTTTTACTTACGTATCCCTGTCCCTGAGACTTGGGTTTTTTGACACCTACGGTCTCCAACCCAGGAACTCGGTAAAATTCCTGCCAAACGTCTGTCCTCAGAATTTGTGTAAATGAAAAAAGCAATTACCTTTTTATCCTGCGGGGTTCATGGTGGAAGAACGATGCACTCCCGTTTTCTTCAGGAGTCAAGTTTCTTTGGAGTTACTTGGCCCATTGCTTTCCAACTTTTTGTATTTTAAATGCTCAGTTTTCTTGCTTTTTAGATCCTTAGCTTTTTTTCAGCAGACTCTCAACACTGCCTTTGCTCTTTTTTCTGTTTTTTTTTTTTTTTTCCTTCTTCGTGGATGCTGATACCCTGCCTAATCCATTTGTATGTCTGGGTGGGGCTGGCTCTGCCTTCTCACTCTCCCTTCATTTTCTTCTAGTAAAATCTCTCTGTGGCTTGGAAGCCTCTCAGGTTCCTGCGGTGGAAGCTCTTTCTGGGGCTGGCGAGCCCTGTGACATCATCGACAGCAGTGATGAGATGGATGCCCAGGAGGAGAGCATCCATGAGAGAGCCATCTCCAGAAAAAAAAAAAGCAAGAGGCACAGAGGTACAGGGCTTGTGCTTTCTTTGGATTAATAGTCTTGTCCGTGGCGATGACTCGAAGCCGTCGCTTTCTCAGTAGCACCAGAGGTGATCGATAGCTGGGGGGAACCACAGTTTGGACCTTAGCAGGGGGACGCGGTTTACTATACCGGGCTTTCCATTTTGTCTAAGTGGAGAGGAAAGGGTCTTGCTACAAGTCAGGAGCTTCCTGGAGCTGTGATCTCGATTGTGGTGGCCATTCACTGAGAACATGTCATCTTTGGGTCAAACCCATGTGGCAACAGGAAAACAAAAAGCCTTTGTATTTCTGGATTTCAGTAGGTATAAGGAAGCAGAGATGTGACAAAAAATGTTTTCCCACATATATGGATTGTGGATAACTAGTTACCTTTCAGCTGAGGCTAGATATTATGTGCTTTTAAGTGTCTTGAAATGATTGATGTTTACTTTATGTCTAATAGGTACTGGGGGAAATAGAAAAGTATGTGACATTTATATCTTAATGGCAATAAAATTTACACAAATGATAAAAAGAAAATAAACTAACAGTATATAATGTGCCAAACCGTCGTTCAGTGGTTTGCTCTAGGTTTAATGAATCAGACTCTCTTGGGATAGAGCCCAGAATAGCTGTTCTTAAAGCTAAAGTGGTTCTGATGCCCAGCTAGAGTTAGGGGGAAGCTAATGAATAAATATGTGTCTCAGATTCTACTTGAGAATCAGATAATAGATACCTGTATGTGTTAAATATGCTGAAATAATCAATAAATTAATGAACCAATATTGCTTTGCACTTATATCAATTCTTGTCAGTGATACTGCTCTCTTCCAGAACCTGAAATTAATATTGACATTCCTCACACTTTTTCATTCTTAATTTCTCTCTTGAAATCTCTACTCATCATCACCATTCTATTAGAGATTTATCTTGGTCTTTTTTTTTCCTTTGGACACATTCCACAGAACGGCTTACAGATTTTTAAAACATCTCGATTGGGATAAAACACTCCTTTAAAGCGTACAATTCAATGGCTTCAAGTATGTTCACAGTTGTGCAGCCGTCAGTGAGATCTATGTTTAGAGCATTTCTATCTTCCCAACCTTATCAGCATCATTCCTCATTCCTAGCAACCACTGGTCTACTTTCTGTCTCTATAGATTTGCCTATTTTGGACATTTTATATACATGGAATTATGTAATATGAAAGATCTTTTTGTGTCTATCTTATGTCACTTTTACAGCGTTTTTAAGATTCATCCATATATAGCACGTGTCAGTATTTCATTCCTTATTATTGCTTTTTATTTGGCTATTATAACTAAATAATGTTGCTGTGAACACATGGACAATTTCTGTGTGGACATATATTTTTATTTCTTTTGGGTAGGAGTGAAATTGCTCGATTACATGGTAATTCTGTGTTTAACTTTTAGAAGAATTGCCAAACTGTTTTCTGGAGTTTCCATTTATATTCCCACCAGTAATGTAGTAGAGTTCCAGTTTCTCCACATTCTTACCAACACTTGTTACTGTCTGACTTTTTGAATAATAGCATCATGGTTTTGCTTTGCATGTCTTTGACAGCTAATGATGTTGAGCACCTTTTCATGTGTTTATTGGCCATTTTTATGTTTTCTTTTGAGAAATGTCTATTCAAGTCTTTTGCCCACTTTTTAAATTGGGTTGTTTATTTCTTTATTACTGAGTTGTAAGAATTCTTTATGTCCTTAGGACACCAGTAACTTATATGTGATTTGTAGCTTACAGACTCTTCACTGTAATTTATCTTTTAGGTTCCTTCATTCTAGTCAGACTGGTTTTTCTTTTTCCTTCTTTCTTTTAACTTCTTTCTAATGAAACATATATAAAAGAATAGAGAATAATATAATGAATCTCGTGTGGCTCTTACTCAGCTTTAATAGTTACCAGCTCATGGCCATTTTTGTTTCACCTCCCCCGACCCCCATCCTAAAACACACACAGACACAGACACAGACACAGACACACACACACGCACGCACACACACACACACACACGCACACAGACACACACGCACACAGATGCAGACACAGACATACGCACACAGACACGCACACAGACACACACAGACACACACAGATGCACACAGACACACACATGCACACAGACACACACAGACACAGACACACACACAGACACACACACACAGAGGATTATTTTGAAACAGTTCCCAGATAGCTTGTTATTTCTGTAAATATTTTTGTAGTTATCCCCAAAAGATACTCTAAAAAAAAACCCCATTTTTCACATTTTAAAAAGTTGATAGTAATTTCTTAATAACAAAGTCTTGTTAGATTTGTCTCTTTATTGCTGTCTCATATGTTTTGTTTTTCTAAGTATCTGGGCTTCATGTTAGCTGTTTATGTGGCTTGGAATACTTTCCTCTTAACCTGTGCCTATCACAATTCTTTATGTTTTTCATGGCTTATTTCCATGATGCTCTTCTTTACTGATTCCATTTTCTACATTTTTAAATTTCTTAATAATTATATATAAGAAACAGCTCTTCAGTAATTAGTGAATTTTGTCCCAAAGACAAAACTTTTCGTGTCTCTCTGCTTCGCCAAAGTTCTGACTGGTCTCCGTGGAGGAAATTCTGATAGTGGAGGAAAGTCATTTGCCTTCTCCTTCAGAGAGAGATTTAATGTGGGAGAAGGTGGGGCCCAGACATGGTAGCTCGAGCCTTAACTGGTCACTAGAGATAACTAACTAGAAAGGGGAGGGACCCAAAAAAAGGATGTCATCTTTGAGGCGCCAGCTGGTGTTACGAAGCAGCTGACGCAGGAGCCTGGTCGAGCCCTAGAACTGCAGGAAGCAGTTAGCTGGACAGGCAGAGGCAGGGGCTTTGGGCCAGGAAAGAAAAAGGAGAAAGCTGGATTTTGGATAGTTCTATGGCTGAGTCTGAGTTAAACATTAGCATTAGGATTAGCCCAGACGCAGGGTCTCTATGGAGTGTGAGTTTTTACCTGAAACTGAGATGTGTAATGAACCCCAGAGTCAGGAGAACTAACACTGATGAGATCTGGAGGAGGAGGAGGAGGCAGGGTGCATTGTCACAGTATCTGAACACTGAGCCTATGGCCAGGATCACAGTTCAAACTGACGATGGAACAGGGAGAAACCAGAAGAAAAGAAACGTGTCTGCAGGCAGTTATTGAGTAATGAAAATCACGCTGTAACTCACCTGGTGTTCTTTTTAGTTTGCGCTTTGATGTTTCCTCATACCATCTTAAGATTTTTTTTTTTTTTGCAGTGACTGAACCGAAGAAAAGGTTTGATGGGTGCAGCTGTGAGGAAAATCAAGGGCAGAGTTTATGGTGCAAAGCTGGAATCAGGGGCCAGAAAACTTGGGTTCCATTTACCTTGTGGGTCCCATTCACTTTGACTAGGAGGCAAGGTTCTGTTTTCTTGATAGGAAGATGGCACCGTAAAATTTTCCTTATTTCTGTTGAAGAATCATTAGAATCGAATGATTTAACGTATGCAAGGTACTCAAAGTAGCATATAAATAGTTGTTAGATAAAATCCTCAAGAGCAGACCTGTTCACTTGGGCAATAGGAAGCAAAAGTTTCCAGCAGCTGAAGTAAGCAGGAAATGATGTGTTTGAGATGCTTCCTTGGGCCTGTTTTAAAACCTTAACTGTGTAAGCCCTGGGAGAATTGAAATGATTGATGATCTTTAGGTCCATGTATAATGGAAGATTGAAGGTGATAGCTCTTTTTTTTCTGTTTCAGAAGACCTGGACGGGGCTGGAGGAGAAGAGTACCCCATGGACATTTGGCTCTTGCTGGCCTCCTATATCCGTCCTGAAGACATTGTGAATTTTTCCCTGATTTGTAAGAATGCCTGGACTGTCACTTGCACTGCTGCCTTTTGGACCAGGTTGTACCGAAGGTGCGACCACAGTTTGCTAACTCTGTTGTCTGCGTTGCTGATTTCATGTGGTTTATTGGGGGAGGACCTGGCAATGATGACTTTCCAATTTCTACTCTGTGCCTGGGTGTGAGCCTGGCTTTGGACTCCTTGAGGCCCTCTCTGATTTAAAATTGATGTTATTAATTCATCCAGGTAATCGTCTTCCCTGTGTTTGACTCCACCCCTGATCCTGTGTCCACTTGCAGCAAAGAGTCTTCAGGTTTCAGAAAAAACTGTTTTGGACTTTCTTCAGGGGTTATCTTAGCTAGGATTTTCAAAAGCTGCAGGTGCCTACTTGTCTTTTCGACTAGATTCATTTCTTAGATTTGCTAGTCATCTTAAAGTATCATGTAGTTTTGGTACTTATGCTGCCCTACACGTAGGGTTACTGCTGAGGAGAGAGTGAACAAACAGTATGGTTAGAGAGAGGGCTGGCTCTTGATCTTGGGTGAAGAAGTATAGACCGTAAGGATGCGATAGGAAGGGATGTTGAGGTAGCAGGGAGCTGAAGCATGTGACAGGAGGACTGGTGGCTCTTCTCCGGTACAGGTTCTTTCTGAGGGTCTGAAGTATGTCATATCAAGGAAGAGACTTGCCCTTTTTTAGGGTGAAATATTGAGGATTAGAAATGTTGAAATGGGTGTAGTAGTGCTGGGTTATAAGATGTGTGTGAACTGGGTTGTGCGTGGCAAAGAAGTACAACTAGTTGAGAAGTGAAGGGACCATGTGCGAGCACTGGGGACAAGCTACGTGCAGTTCAGTCATACAGAGACCAGGAGTCCTACGAGACTGACCTAGAGCAGGAGGACAAGCCACACATTGGTAGGAGTAACGTGTCTTGTTTCAGGCACTACACGCTGGATGCCTCTCTGCCCGTGCGCCTGCGCCCAGAATCCATGGAGAAGCTGCGCTGTCTCCGGGCGTGTGTGATCCGATCTCTGTACCATATGTATGAGCCATTTGCTGCTCGAATCTCCAAAAACCCAGCCATTCCAGAAAGCACACCCAGCACATTAAAGAATTCCAAAGTAAGTGAGAGTTGGTTTAACTGATGGGCTCTCGTGCAGCGGACCTATTATCTTGGCTTATCCCAGCTTCCTTGATGGGGAGGGAGGTCTAGGTCTCTAGGTGGCAAGCTGCTAGGGGACTAATGCAAATTTCCAGGGCTCAGGGGTTTTACTTCTCCAAGATGTTCCTGCTGTGTGGGCCTGGCTCACGTTGTCTTTACTTTAAAGCTTTTTGTGCTTTTAGCACGTTCCTTATTTTCTTGAATTTACTTTCGTGCATTGTACGTTGGACCACTTTGGACGGTCCTGATGGTTTTGGTTAGGAAGAGCACAGCTCACATGGTAGGTGTAAACCATAAATCTGAAGAGGTGCTTGAAGTCACGATACGGAAGTATAACACGAACAGCTTACTGATTTTCTCTTTGTGACGTGACCTTGACCCCTGGGATTCCCCTTTCCTGTTGACCTCCTTCAAAGGCTCTCATGTGGACGTTGCTCCCTTACTGGTTTTTGTACCTCTTTTTGTGCCTTGGGATTTCTCAGTAGTTTGTACTCAGATGTCACATTCAGGTTGGTAGCATTCTGATTTGTAAGCAGGTCTGTCAGCCTTTGGTCCATTCTCTTCCTTTTCTCCTCCCTGATGAAATACCTAGTGAATGCACCTTTGTCCAGCTAGACGAGTATGGCAGATGCAGTTATTTGGGCAAGTCGATGTATCGTCCCCCCTTTCCTTTCGAACGAATATCACTGTCTAAATTTTATAGCTTTTGAGTTCGTGGGTAATTGTTATTACTCTGTACCTGCACATAATCTGGGGTTCTGTAGCACTTCCTATTCCTTTGTATTTCGTTTCTGTGCTTCGGACGTTATAAGGATTCTCCCCAAGTCTAGCTCGTGTGGTAATGTTACCTGACACACATTGGTTAAAGGGTACTGTTCATTTCAAGATTATTTTTTAAGGTTCCTCCCAGGGTTGCAGACCGAGGCGGTCAGGGCCATTGGCTGAGCTCAAGTTTGTGTCACGCTGGCTGATGGATACAGGGCAGGAGTAGAATTTCACCCAGCAGCTGTTCCTGCTTGTAGTGCGAGCGGACAGCACATGACGTCACATTTACAGTTGCCCTTCCTCGGAAACATTTGTAGTAGCAGACTGTGATGAGGCGGGGGTCATCCCAGAGCTAACCGGCCAGGTGCGAATCAGTTGCTGGAAGCAGAACGGCATCGGGCAAACTCATGCTTGACACATCCTAGCGGCTCCAGTGCACAATGCAAGTGCTGCTGCCTCAGCTCTGAGTGCCAGTCTTCACGCTCTTACCACTGCAATTAAGTTTCAAAAGTGGGCGCCAGAAGCCAATGTGGAATGATGACCGATGTGTTCATCCAGACGATAAGCCCAGGCCACCTGGCTGCTGCGAGATCTCCTGAAGAGGGTGTGGGACCTCATGCGGTGGCAAGTGGCCCACGCATGGCCTTGCCACTTGTATAACCACAACCGCCTGGCATTCAGGGAGTTGCCAGCATGCCTAAAGGAAGTTGTCCCATGTTCCTGGACTCCAGCTTTTCGTATATGATTCTCCCTCTCTCTCTTTTCAGTAGCATAGCTTGTGTGGGACACTGGAGCCGTTGTGATGGCAGCAGAAGTGTTTGCCCCTTAAAGCCAAGCCCATTATTTTTGATGGAACATCAGGACGTGCAGGGCATGTCTGAAGGGCAGGACAGCTGGCACGGCGGACGACCCACCCCTTATCCCCTGGGAGGTACTTAACTTCTTGTGCTTAACCTTAGCTGTAGCCTGACTTTCACTGAGGGGCTCACTCTAGATGGAATTCACCTCGGCTCTGTCGTTTCCACACTGGCTGTTTGTTCTCAGCAGGTCCTGGGCGGCTGCCCCTGTTACAGGGCCGGCCCTCTCTGCCTGCCGTGGTTATCCTCTTGCCTGGTGGCTACTGGCCGCCCTTAATGTTTCGATACAGAGGAGTGGCCTGCGATTCAGAGACTGCCCCAGTCTCTAGAGACCGCGTTTCTCTCTTTAAAGATGAGAACAACAGGGGTTGACCTCAGCAGCCTCTGAGGTTGACTGACATCGGTCCCTCTTCCCTTCCTGAATAGCCCTGCGATTGTCTCTTTTCCATGTTGCACCAGTGTCAAATTGGAGGGGGTCTCTATCTGTGCCAAAGTAAAATCCCAGCTCTGGGACTGTGGCTGGCTTTAGAGCTATCAAACAGAAAGGTTTTTGCTGATTATTTTTTGTTACCTTATTTTGATTGTTTTCTTTTCTGTCTTTTATTTGTTTATTTTTGGTTTATTTTGTTTTTATTTTCTTACAGTGCTTACTTTTCTGGTGCAGAAAAATTGTTGGGAACAGACAGGAACCAATGTGGGAATTCAACTTCAAGTTCAAAAAGCAGGTATGTGGTTGCCTCTCCTTTTTGTTTTCCATGTAATATCTTGTTCTGATAAGTTTTACTCGGCATACGATTGCCTTACTCAAATCAAAACTTGTAATATTGCCTTGAAAAGGAAACGAAGAGGGAACTATTCTGTATCAAAGACACACAAAGATATAGTAGCTTAATGCAGAGAGAACCTTGAGTAGATCCCAGATCAGGGAACAAAGAGGTATACGAGATATTTTGGGGGACAATTAAGTTTGAATACGCTATGGCTAATACATGCTATGAAGTTATTGTAAATTTTTTGGGTGTGATAATGATATCGTGGTTATATGTAAGTGTGTTTTTTCATGCTGAATAAAGGTAGAGTGTCAATGTCACTTTCAAATGGTTTTGCACTTCCCACCCCCAAAGTGCATGTGATTTTTATAAGTGCACATAAAATGAGTGGGGAGAGAAAGCAAACATGGCAGAATATCCAGTGCTAGGATGTACACAGGACTTTATTGCACTGTTAACTTTTCTTTATGTTTGAAGACTTTTAAAAAGTGAGGAAAAGGAGAAAACTTGTTATATCAATGTACTGAGGTTATTTGCCTAAGTTTGTTTTTTGTCGTTCAAAGCAAATGTATTTGTAAGCGACACTAATTAAGCTGGTTTTATGTCAGGCGATCTAGAGAAGTCGTGAGGAGAGGGACTGCCCAAAGGCCCTAGACAGGAAGAGCAGACACTGCCCCGCTGTCTCTGCTTTCTGCTGAAACTGCCTGAGGTCCAGACTGCAGCGCGCGTCTGTTTCGCATCGCTGCCTGTCCTCACCGGCCTCGTTTCTAACGTCTCTCCCCCTACTTACCATCTCAGTGCTGAGACGCATTACAAGTACAATTAGTCATCCCTCACCTGATGGCAGGTGAGCTACAGATAAGTTTGTAATGAAAGTAAATCATATTTTTCATTGATTTTTGGAAAACGTGGTTTCAGAGAAGAATTTTGGCTTTGATCATTGTTTTTAACAAGACGTACACGATCTCTGGAAGCCATTAGATATTGGTAGGGAGTACACCATAGGGCCTCTCTGGGAGGGGCTGCGGTGCGGTCTGGTGTATACCCTGAGACCAGAACTCCTCCTGCAGGGGAGCGCGTACGATTTCCTCTAGTTCTGAGACTCGTGACCCTTGTTTTATGGTGCCTGGCATTAGATGGCCACTTCTGCTTCCATCTCTCTTGTGCAGCAGATGTTCTTTGGAGTTTGACAGATCACAAGATATTTATAGTCTCTCAAACACCGGAGCCTCTGATAGAGCTCTGAGTCTCCAGTTCTTGCCAGATGGCAGAAGATGCCGTAACTGAAGCATCACACCATGGCCACCATGCTCATCCACAGGGGTCGCCCCTCCTTTCAAAGGCCCGATTTTCCTTGATCTCTATAGAAACCAATATGGACGTAATGAAAGAAGAGAGAACAGAAAAGCGGGTCTCAGCGTTCGTTGAGCCATAGGACTTTCATTAGTGGAATCCTAGAGCCATAAAGGTTTCCTCTGAGCCATTAGGTTAATTCTCAGTTCTCCTCAGTCCCCTAGATTAAAGAGCAAGTGCGGAGCGGGGTTGCAGCCTCCTATTCAGTATGAAGATGTTCACACCAACCCAGACCAGGACTGCTGCCTTCTGCAGGTCACCACCCTCAATTTCATCTTTATTCCCATCGTCATGGGAATGATATTCACTCTGGTAAGTGGAGACGAGATGGCATTTCAGCTCTTTCACAGACTAACTGTACCTGGGGTTTGAAAGAAATCTATAAGTTTAACCACTGAAGAAGTTGTTTTTGACAAAGGATAAAAAGAGTCTGAAAGCAGACTGGCACGTTAGGAGCAGAGAGATTTGGGGAGGAGTTATTTACGTCTGACAGCATTTTGCCTGCTTGCTTCTCTGTGGCCAAGCGAACGTGTTTGCTTCTCCTGTGTAGTGATCGTTAACGTCTGAGGAACATTGTTCCACAGGGATAATGAGGATACTGCACGTGAGCACTGTGCGTGGGTACCTTGAGGCAGGCATGTGGTGTCATAAATGCAGTATTAAAATGTAAAGCGACCAGCTCTGTCCCAGGGGGATGCTTTGACCCTTCAAGGCCTAGCTAAAAAACAGCAACTACGCCTCTAGCATATTTTTCAGGTTTTTAAAATTTTTAACTATGTTGACAACTGGAGAGTTCATGTAATTTATCTTCTTTGTCTTTTGGGTTTACGTTCAGAGATACATGGGGTTCCCCCTCCACATTGAACACAGCTTATTCTTTTTTTAATGGTAAGGTAGATAATACGTATTTCATATAAAGAATTTAACTAATGCATAAATACATTGAGAAAAGGTGACTTAGTCTTCCAGTAACCTAAGACTGTCATGAACCGTTTGGGGACTGTTCTTTAATGTGCCCATTAGCATGTACATGTGTGCACTCAGTCTCTTAAGTAACATGTTTCTGAGGTGATGTCATGCACAGTCCTTTTATCGTAGGGGCCTCTCACCTCCCTGTAGGTTAAGCCACGTCGGTGACCCAGTGACCCAGTTGTATATTCCTCGTACTCCATGTACGTCAAACTCATACAGTCCTTTGCAGATTTACATATACATAAACATATTTAGAGATTTTCTGGTGTATTTTACCAAACATAAAAAAGGGATCAGGTATATGTTTTATGCATCCTATTTTACTTGCTCAGCAATGTCTTCTCAAAATCCTTTTAAGTCGTCCCTTATAGCTCTAACCTGGTTTTTAAAAATTGGCCTTGGTGGTAGTCATTGTGCATGTACCCCTAAATTTGCCATCCACTTGAGAGGTGTTCTTTAGTATAGTTTACATAGTCGAAGCTAAGAAGAACTTATAAAATCACCCTTAATTGTTTGTATCTTTGCAAAGGCATTGGTATTATAACTTAAGATTATCTTACGGCCTGGCCAGTGTAAATATCGTCTAGACTGTCTCATTTCACAGTGAATCGTATGATAACAAGGTTATTTATTTCGGGTGCCGAATTTGCTTCTCCCTCCCAGTTCACTATCAATGTGAGCACGGACATGCGGCATCATCGAGTGAGGCTGGTGTTCCAAGATTCTCCTGTCCGCGGTGGTCGGAAGCTGCGCAGCGAGCAGGGCGTGCAGGTCATCTTGGATCCGGCGCACAGCGTTCGGCTCTTCGACTGGTGGCACCCTCAGTACCCGTTCTCCCTGAGAGCATAGTCACTGCTTCCTGTCCCTGAGGGCGGGCCTGAGCTAGGCCAGCCCACTGGTAACCAGTCCAGTGTGGAAGGGGCAGCTGGATTGTGTATCTGGTTAGCGATGCACGTGCTCTTTGGTTCCTGGGGCTCCTGTGAGGGGAAGGAGAAGGGTTGAATCAAGAGGAAAAACAACTATGATTTCTGAACATATTTTAATGTAAAAGTTTTATTTGAAAGGAGAAACCTGGCCCTGTTTTCTGTGTTAAACCTCATTTGGTGCTATTGAGTTTGTTCTTTATTGTTTTATCCTAGTGAAAATGGATGATCTTGCTTTAGGGAAAATTAAACTCTTCAATCTCCAGACAAGGAAGTTGCAGCATTTCCTTATGATAAGAGGAACCTGAGAGGCCTAGAATTGTTGCTGCTGTTGCTTCCAGTTCAGCTGCCCGTCCAATTCATGTGAACATTTTCTCCCTTTACTCTTCTCCAGAAATAAAGCAGGTGACAGGGTTTTCAGAATCTTATAAGATTGCCTTGTGTATCTTTCTTTAAAAGTAATTTTTGGATATTTATCGCATAAATGTTCATTTGCCAACTTTTGGATTTTAGATATTTTTTTGCATGAGGCTGAGACTAGTGACAATAATGACTTTGTGTCCTTGGTACTGCACTGGGAACTTTACATAATATCTCTAATTTTCACAGCCCTGCAAGGTAGGTGACACTGTTCCCATTCTGTGGTTGAGGAAACGGAATTGGTGACTTATCCAAGGCCGTAACAGCCAGTAAATGGCAGAGCCAGGATTCCTACCCAGATCTTTTTTTCTATACCACAGTTAGAAGGATCAGTCTCTCTCTCCTTCCCTTCTCTCTCTCTCTCTCTTTTTTAATGGTAGGTAGATAGTGGCAGAGTGCATGTAGATGAAAAGTAAAGGTGAGTAAATATTTGATTTTGATATACCTAATCCGTAACCAGCCTAAAAGGTATATACGGTTGATGAAAGAGTTTTAAATATGTGTTTCTAAGTAAAATGGAAGAGAAACCAAGAAAGTTACTGCAGGAAAGATAGTGGTATTTTCATTAAATTGTTAGATATTTATTATACTGAAGGTCATTAAAAAAATGCATCCCGTGTCGAAAATAGCGTCTTGAGCTCTGAGCACGTTGTGACTTTGTGTGGCCCATCGTCATGCGTGTCGTCCCTGCAGCAACGCGGCCGGCCTGTCGGTCAGAGGACTTGCTGTCGCCGGCATACTCTGAGAAGAGCAGCGGCACGGGCGCGTTGCTTTGATTTTGCTCCCAAGATAAGCTTGCTGCTTTCTCCCCCTCCCACCCTCACCCCAGATGAGCCAGTGCACTGGATCTTAGCTGGGTATTGCCGTGAGGCGGGCGTTAAGATGATGATAATCTTTAAATGGGAAAGTCCTGTGGGGCAGTCGTGACCATACTGCTAAGTGGATGCGTTGTTTCCTCCCCACCACCCTCCCTGCCCTGCTGTTTAAGGGGCGATCTCAGGGCGCACCTGCTTAACGCTTTTGCTCACAGCTGACCTTACCGCACGCTGAGGGTGGTGCCGAAGCTGCTCCTGGAGAAAGTGAGCCTGGGTCAGTGAAAAACACAATTTGGGCATTTAAATGATAAAAACAAAACCCAAGGACTGTGAGCCCCTTGCAAATCTGCAATGGAGAGTTTCCTCTCAGGCGAGAGGGAAGAAGCGCAGACCCCTGGTTCCCTGAACCTAAGGTGCCGTTGAGCGGAGGGCGATGTCCTGGTGATTACCTGTCTCCCATTTAGGGGTTACCTGTAAAAGGGAGGTGCAGTCGATTTGGCTTGATAATTGTGTTCTGACTCAACCTCCGAGCTTTTTCCTCAAACTCCACGGTGCGATGATAGACATGTTCGACACGGCCTCAGCCGTTCTAGCGGTGCTGACGGACACTGGGCGCAGGGTGTTCGCAGCAGCAGTTCTGGCCTCGGCCTCCCCTCTGCGTTGGCCGAGTTGCCTCTGCTAGGCTGTGTCCTGTTCTGTTAGTGAAAGGAGGGAAGTGTCTCGGGGATTTTTTCCTGATGAGACCCTCACACCACCTGGAGAAGAGTTGGATCTTTCTGGACTACTTCTGTAAAATCTGTTTTGTAATTTTCACTTCCCTAAATACATACCTTGATTTTGCTCTGAGGGTCAGACAAAACAACAAATTTAGCTTCATTTCTCACCCCCCAAATCAGAATTCCTCCGATTTTCCTGCTTCCTACCAAAGATATAAGGAGACTAAGCCAAATAGTGAACATATTGGAAAAAAGGGAAAAAAAATGAAAGGTTATACGTGCCAGTGATGTCGACTGCAGCATTCTTTGCTGGAGTAGAATGTGTCTATAAATATGTACACATTGCATGTGCACAAAAAATCCTCACGCCTCTTGTAGTGCTCCCTGGGCCTCGGGAAGGATCGAGTGGGCGCAGTGACAGCACTTCTCACACCAGATGGGAAGGAGCAGTTCAGGAGAATGGGGAGATGTAAGGAAAGCTTGTCAGGAATTTTGGCATTGACACTGTCTTCATAGTATGTGTGTATAATAGACGTTTCGTTTTGTAGTGACAGTGTTAGCACAGCCAGGTGCCTGAATTCAGGCAAGTGACTTAAGTGCACACTATGGTAACGTATCTGGATTTCAAGTTTCTCCACTTAAAAACGGGTATGACCAAAGGAGAACTAATAAAGGGGCGCGAGGGAGCTGGTGCGAGAGGTGACAAACCACTGGCAACAAGGACGGGACCGAGGCCAATTTGGGGACCGGGTTGGTTCAAAGAGAGGTGGTTGTGCGCTGCGCCCCCTGGAGGGAGGCTGCGGGCCGGCAGGAGACTGCGCGCAGCCTCTCAGGTCACGTGCCACGGCGGGGCTCGGCCTCGGGGGTGGAGCCAGGGCCCTTTGCGGAGGGGGCGGGGCTTGGGGGCGGGGCTCGGTGCTGGGAGGCTGCAGTGGCCTCTGGTCACGTGAGGGGTGGGCCGTGCCCCGGGCGGGGGCGTGGCCTGGGGAGGAGGCGGGGCTCATGCCCGGGAGGCTGCAGCTGC